TCTTATTCTTAAACTTTCCATGAAGAGCACAGAGTACAGGAAAACAAAGGACAGGGAAACCTTTCAATGAAAACAGATCACCTGTGGCCTCTTTTGTTTACTCAGCTGTTCATAACCAACCGGTCTTCTTATCTTCATAAGGTATCTAATGAATCTGTCTACATCAGGAAGAGCAACTGTCTGCCATAAGTTACATCCATGAAGCTCTCAAACTCTCATTCCAACAGTTTATGAAAGGATGAAGGGGAAGAATGTCTGACACAGTAATCTGAGCAGAAGCAGCAAGAGGGCTACAAACCGGTCATCAAGAAGTGTATCAAATGCTCCTCCTGGCCAAAAGCCACAAAGATCTTTATTAGATTCATTAGAGAGCCATATGTAATGTGTCCATTCTGTTCTCCTATAAGAGAACCTATTCCACAGTGTACTAGGGTTCAGCAACAACGTCTAACCCCGTGTTTGATAGACAGGGAGGCAGACCCATGGCTGGGAGGGACACCAGAATTTGGTGAAACTACATCCATGAAGAGGAGAGAAAAAAAATGGGAGCAAAAACAAGGGAAAAAACAAGATAAAGTGAGTGAAAGCAACAAGAAGAGAAAGAAGGAAAATGGAAAGAAAATACCTGGCAGGAACAAATTAAAGAAAGACAGCACAGCAAAGGAGGAAAGGAAACGGGTGGAATGAAATAAAGAAACTAGAAGGGTGGAAAGAAAGGAAGTCAAAATAATAAGGCAAAAGAACAAAGAACAAATAAATAGAATAAGCAAGACAGTATGGAACTGTATTGCTGCCACCCTGAGAAAAAGATACACTATTTGCTCAGTATCTCGTTTTAGTGAGTGACCGCAGTGGACAGACTGACTTTACTTGCTGTCAGTAATACTTGTAACATGATCCGGACATGTACAGGGTATTGTGGCTCATGAGCTGGTCATTGGTATGGGTGTTGATGAGAGAGAAGCTGCTGGAGGGGAGCTCCAGCCGGTGCTGTGTACAATCTAATGTGATAACACACTCTAAAGTGGATCCTTTCTACAGTTATTCTCAATGACCAGTTTAATGCCAAGTTCTGCCTGCTGAGAACTTGCATGCCCCTTGCTGGAGCATCTGTGGGGCATCACGCAGAGCACCGGCTGGAGCAGCCCTCCACAGCTCCTCGCTCATCAACACACATATTATCTGTGATCAGTGTTTGTGCTTGACTACTCCATATCCTGTGGTGGTAGTGTCCCCACATTCCCCTTTTTCATGGCACCAACTTTCCACACAAGGACCAGCACTTGGCTTAGAGGGTGCGCTCCAGCAGGTCCTGGAGAATCACTGGGTTGACACATAAACCCACAGTATATGTTGTTGTTATAATGAGAAAATAAATCATCTCATTATACCATTTAAAAAAAATCACCTTTTAACGTGAAAGAATATATTGTAAAAATGAGAAATGTTTCTCTTTATAATCAGAAACTTTTCTCATTACGTGATTGCTTTTCTCATTGTGGCAGCTATATGCTGCCGTAAAATAATAAGTAAGACAGTAAATAAAAAGAGGGAAATACATAAGAATGAAAAGAAGAATGGAAAATAGAAGCACTGGAGCAAAGAAAGGACAAAGAATTGATAAAAAGGTAAAAGAAAAGCAAAAGTCAAGGAAATGAGGAGAAAAGACCAGGAAGAACAGAGGAGCAAAAAAAGAATATGGCAGTGATAAAAAGAAAAAAGGGAAGGAAATAAAAATGGCAAGAGGAGAGAGAGAAACACCAAACAAGAAAAAGACAGAACAAAGATGAAAATAAGTCAAGAAAGGAAGGAGAAAAGAAAGGAAGATGGAGCTGATAGCCTGTTCATCTTGAAGAAGCCAGATAACAGCTGTAGACAGTCAGGGCCCAAGGACAAGTCAGCCAGAGATACACAGAACACTGTCAGACACAGCAATGACAACCTCCCTCCAAGCTCCAGTGTGGAAAGCTGGCATGTTGTCAAAGAAACCTTGGAGTTGTCTTTTAGTATGATCAGACTATGCATACCAACTTCATTGTATGACATTCTGGATACTGTAGCAATCACTGGAGCCAAGGCTCATGTGAAAATGCCATCATTGCAGTTCATTTAATAACCGCTTCAAAAGTCCTTTTAGTCCCTAGTAGCTCACTTCTGTTCTTCTATGTGTCATGATGGCAATTTCCTACAACATTTAATTTAATTAAGAGCATATCAGGGCTTAAACTCTGCTTTAAGACAACATGACCACAGTTGTGCATGCCGTAATCATTCCCCCCGTCATATTGGACTCCTAGAAATTACGTTTACATACAGTATTATTAAATTGTTTTCCCACGTATAATTGCTGCCTGGATTATGCTCAGAGGGACCATATTTGTTTGTTATGTCAAGTAAATGGCGTGTTACACTTATGTAACCAATGTTGCCAGTGCCCAAATGTTAACTTTAAAGAAGTTTAACAATGTGATAATGACTGCTGGTTGTATTCCACAATCAGATTACAAAACAAATGAAATTCACTTATTTCACTGATATGTTTAGTATCAACATACTGAGTTCATTATGTTAATAGAAAGCTTAACCACGCTGCCATTATGTCTACTACTTTACCGTTAATTAAATTAATTGTAAGCATAATTTCCTGAAGTCGGGGTTGGCCTTTACAACACAGACCAACTTGAACCAATGACTGCTGACCAGTGAGAAATTCTTTAAGTTTTTTTTTTTCAGTGATGTGAGAATTCAACATTTACAATGGTTTTAATCATATAAAGAGTTAAAACTAATGATTCGAAATGGCTTTTGTTGATTTTTGCAGTCATAAATGAATATTTGCTCGTGGTTTTTGATATTTTGCATTACTGCTTGCTGCTGTGCTGTAATATATTAAAAAAAAATTCTAAACTTTGAAACTCTCTCTCTCTTTACTGAGTTATCCTTAATGTTAATTTGTGTCAACTATAACTGCATGTTAGAAACCATATTAAGGGATATTTAAAGCTGCATATGATGTTTACTTTATAAACTACAATACAATTACTTTAATCATGACTGACCTCTCAAGAGTGTAGTGGTGACTAAACCTTAGAACCAAATTGTGGACTCAATTTAAAATAGAATGTTATCTGAAAACATTTCAAATAAATGAGGTAATCATTTATTCATTTTAGTCTAGAATCCATAAACTGGGTGTCCATCCTAGGAAGTTAATTAACATCAGCCAGTACGATGTGCATAAAAAAATCCTGGTCTTACATGGCCAATGTCACAGCTTTTGTGAGTTATTTCCTATTAAATAAACACTTCCTCAAAGAGCCAAAGTATACTGGCCCCTAAAAGTTTCCCAGTACTGTAACATCTAGGTACAATGAGGTAGCTGCCTATAACTGCAGATTGATATTGATTAAGGAGGATTTGGGTCTTGTCCTGAAGGGGGAGGTCTGCAGGGAACTCTGGTTTCAGGTTCATGGTAGTCAGTTGCTGAGTGAATACTGTATTTCAGTCCACAAACCTCACGCAGTGCTTGTTAATAGATTTCAAATACGCCACTTTAGAGTGAGAGGTTAAGCTATGTTCCTCTAGTTGGTTAGCAAACTGTGGCCTTCGAACAAGTGGCCACCCATAATGGGTGACACAGGCTCGTCCCACCTCAGCACCACAGTGTTAATCAAATTTTTTGGTTTGTAAGTCCAGACTCACAACTAGTGTCACACATGTGACAGAACATTAATGCTTTCTATGGGTATACAGTAGCACTGGCATCTACTGGGGCCAATGAACAAAAGCCTCACACAGAACACATTTGATTATAGGTACCTTCTTAAAAGATACAGATGAATAACAACATTTCATTGAATATGGACATAAACTGGGTCTGCTCATTGCATACATTTGTTGGATTGTATTTGCATCCATATTTGACATGATTAAGCCATGGTCACATCATTAACATATTTTTAGCCAGCTAAAACCAATGAGAAACTTACTTTATGTGTAAATTTTTATCTAAAACAAACAAAATTAGTCATTGAGCCTCATCCTTGGTTTAACATCCATTACCGTGTTTAACAGAAACATGATGTACCCATTTAACTAATGGAAGCTAAAACAGAAATCTAGTTAATATTTTTAGTTTTTGTCAGTGGAACTGTGCTGCAGAAATGATTCCATCAAGTTTGTAACTGTGTTTTACTTATTGTTATAAAAATGAACTGATTTTTAATTGTTTTCAATGGCATCTTTGGCCATGTTTATGCAAGGAACATCTGAATTCTGAATGTGTTTTGTCTTTAGCTGCTTTGTATCAGCTGTCTGAAAGTGGCTCCTGTGAGCTGAATCCACAACTCATCAGCTACTATGCACTCAAATCTCTCACTCACTTTTGTTCAAAGAATGAACTACACTAACAAATGCCAAAGCATAACCAGCTAAAGACACAGAGCATCCCAGATGACAGGCTTTTTATGTTTTTGATTTTATTTTGCCCTCGTCATTCAGCAGTGGATGACTGACGGGATGAAATGTGTCATAGCACATCCGTGCAGAACTACATTTTGCACAGAGCAGAAAAAAACATTTGTCTGGCTGACACAAAGTCAGTAACACAGCACTGGAGCTAAATGGGCTGGATCTTTCAGTAATAAAGCACAGCCAAATATCTGCAGGAGAGCTTTCCAACCCTGACTGCACTCCCATAAAACAGTACATACCATGAAAACCCTCCAAACGATGACAGAGGGACTCTCTGGAGAAAGACTAGCTTAGCCAGACAGGCTTATGAGATAGAGGGACGCACACACAGGAACATCCACACAGCCTGAAGCATAATCTCTCAGCTGCTGACAGATAGACATATCTATTCACAATCATGCACTGAATCACAGGGACGCAGAGACACACTCTCATAAAAACTCACCTCTCAAACTCACCAAGGATAGAAGAACAGTTATGAACACTTAGACACATAGAATGTCTTAAAAATAAAAAGACAGTCATACCTAGACAGTTGTGTCCATCATGGGCCAGCATGAATCCATCATAACAGGTGCACCTGTAGTTTCCTGGTATATTGATGCATTCATGGACACAGCCTCCATTGTAATCGTTCTCACACTCATCCATGTCTGAAAGAGAAAGGTGGCCGTGTTACTAGGAATGAAAAAATAGGTCCGACAGTCCAGTTTGTTTCAGTATCAATATTCAGTTGTCAGAATGAGTGCATGTGTCATTGCAAACATAAAACTGCAGCTGGCTTAGAATTGGCAGACAGAGAACTAAAAGAAATATGAGACAATAAAAGGTAAGCAGTGCACAAATCAATAGTCAAGACAGGGTATTATGTGGTGTAAAACTTGTTTGTGCATGTTTAAATTAATTTTTTTTTTAATGTGTATACATGTAGATCACTACATCCTTCCAAATACATCTCCTCAACTGAAATGCCCCTGGCTTGGATATCCCTGTTAAAATATTAACATCACTGTTCCCAGATATCTTTGATATTCTACAATAATATAATCACACCCAGCAACATGCATGTACAGTGCAGTGACAGGGGAAGAAAGGGCTAAGTAGGGGGCTGTTGGGGTGGAAGGTGAGGAAGGAGAGGAGCGTAAGTCAGTGTTTCTTTGTCTATGGACGCTACCCACTCACAAGTGGTTGCCATGCAGAGCTACTTAAGCAAACATCCTCCCCCTTTGTGTGAATACTGAGAGATCTGCTAGGCAGTGAGGGAGACCCTGGCCCCTCTGTAGTGAGGATGACATTGCAGGTATGTGCACTCTGGGCTGCTCAGTTCTGGGCCCCAGACATGATCCCATAACTGTGTGTGGACCATCTCATTCTGTTTGTTTCTTCCTTGTGCCAAAAGTCATTGTGCCATCATCCTACGCTCTCTTCCTGTCTCCAAAATGATCTCCTTTTGTGGCTCCTCTCATTTCATTGACGAGGCATGGCTACTGTTTATTACCATTTCACTGTCTGCCTGCCTGTCCTTCAGTTTGTCCAGTAGTGTGACAGCTGGTCACTAGATTATTATAGAAATTAGTATGCAGTTCCTGGGAGACCTAAGGTGTCCTTCCATCCACCCATTTTATTCATATTTTGAAGTTGCACATTCAAAAAAGTTTTTCCAATGCTTGGCTAAGGTGAAAAGGTATTATAAGGGCAATGAAAGCATATTAAGCATGATGTACACAAATTGTGCTGAAAAGATGAAAAACAGTGGAAGATGAAAACAAGTGTGTGTGGATTGATAAGGAAACTGTAACCTTGTGCAAATTAATACACAAAACCAACAGAAATGTCATATTTCCATAAGGTTTTCTACATATTTTTAAGATTTGATTGTGTTCTTTTATTTACATCATCTTAACACACTCTCTTCTTCTGCATTACTTTTTCAGCATCCAACTAGAAAATTAGTACCAACAGCTGTTTATGATGATGAACCAACTCCTACTATTTGTATGATGGTAACAGATGAAAATAAACATGTATAAAAACATGTGCTTAAATTCATATTTCCTTTCCTCAATTTTCATGTTAGCATTTCCACATTTGGATAGAAACATACTTACAATATAGTTTATTGTTACAGACACTGAAGAAACTGGTGTGATTACAGCAGATGAAACTTTTGGTATAGGGCCTGACATATGAGTCAACACTCGTTTGTTTTGTTTGATCACAGAGTTTCTCAGGAAGCAGTTGAAACTGTAGTGACTCAAGTTGCCAGGTTAGATCAAAGGGTGGAGGCTGATGGCCCCAACCAGGAATGAGATGCTGGCACACGAACAAAAACATAGCTTTTAGCCTCCACATCCTGCATGTGAACCCAGACCTTGACACTGAGTGGTCACCACACATGCAGATGTAATCACAAAGCATATTGATTCACATAAAAGTAAAGACATATGTATTTACAAATGAATACATCCAAACTACTTGTAAACCATGCACACACCTACACGCTCAAACACATTCGCTCACCACACTATTTGCAGAGGCCTTCTATTCACAGAACACGGCCTTTCAGATGATTAACAGGGTGATTTGGTTCCAATCTAATCTCTTTGAAGAGTCAAAGCAGCTGGACATAAACATGAAAAGATTCTCCTCTGAGAGATTTCCCATGTTTAGAAACCAGCACGGCAAAAGCCAAATCAATGCCGTATTCTGCACCATGAAGTGACACATAGATGTTTACTAGAAACCTAATTCGCAGGCCGACACACATCTGCACATTTCAGTTCCGTTTGTCTGATGTCTCACAAAGGAACCCTGTACTTTAAGGACCACTCCAGCATGATCGGGATTAGAGGAGAAGATTAATACCGTTATTTCATATTCAACATTGCATTGTGAAATTGTAACCAAAGGCTTCTTCAAAAACTTTAAACTGACCAAACAGCTTCCAATGAGCAGCATGTGTGGAACAGTTACAAATCGTTTTAAAGAAAACAAAACAAATGACAAAAAAACATCAATCATAGTGAAATTGTGCTTTAATAAGAATGAGCCTTGTGTATATAAACTCCTCACAACCATCACTGGCTCATCCTAAAAGGCATTTGCAACCAATTAGAGGGGAGCTGGAATGGGTAAGTGTTTGCGGAAAGGTTGTTTGGACACTTTGCTGTGCTGCCAGCTCCGTTGGCGAGGTGCAGCTCAATGTGGCACCTCTCATGTGCTCTGCTTTTCATCTATCAGAGATGAAAGGGGAAGGTAAAGAGCAGAACTAGAGTCTGGGGGTGGGGGGGTCACCACTGAGGGTGAATGAAAAGCAGCAGGTGATTAATTGGTGCCTGAAATGCTTCAGACATACTGAGACTTCATTCAAACTAAGTGCTTCTTTGCTTTGATTTGGCCTTCCTTTCACAGGTTTTTGAGAGGAAGAGAGGTTTATGACACACACCAAATGAGAATGGTGGTATGCACCTTAACTATTAAGGCACCAAATGCAAAATCTGATCACTTAAAATTATTGTCCAGAGAAGATAAGGGAAGGAATGTATCAAGGGTAATTTGGATGTGTAAAATTTGAATTTATCCATCGTAGTGTGGACACTGTTTGAGGCAAAGTGAAGCTGCGGGATGCGGGGAGTCATACCTGCTAAGGGATTTAAAGACTTGACTTTTATAAAGTTGGGGATGCAGGAGCAGGGATGAATCTAGGAAATTTTGGATGGGGTAGCCATGCTGGGGCACAGACTCAAAGAAGGGTGGCACATTTGAAATACATATAAAAAGTAAATGAAAGCCCTAGTTCTATGAAATAATAAACCATACTGTACATTATTAAGAATCAACTTGTTTATTTTGTGTAAAAATAAGACACATAGTACTTTCTTTAGCTAACTTTACTGTAGGTGCCTTTGGATGTGAGGAACCTTTTAGTTAGAACTAGTGGAAAAAGTAGCTGTGTTTCTGCACCGGAGGAAGTGAGAATGAAAGTAGTTCTTAGAATGTCGTTTTGAGGAACTTTTTTAGCTCCTCCTTCAGGCTAGGTACTCTCCAAGTGCAATAGGAACCATGATTGATGTACCTGTACTTTGACTGCTGCAGCAGTCAATTTTTCAAAACCGTTTTAAATGTTTATAGCAATCAATAGCCATCACCAGTGGTATGGGGAGCTGCAGTCCACCAGCGTAAGCTTCTGCAGAGGGTTAGTGGCTCCTTATATAATTAACATTAGCAACATATACCTTACCAGTAATCTAATGTCGTTATATGTTAACTGTTGTGAGCCTGCTGGTTAATCGCTAACAGTCAGCCAGCTTAGAGTGGATGGCTGACTGTTAGCGATTACATCACTTTACTACTGGCGGTGCAACTGCAAACAGAAAATGGTCTATAAAGACTAGAGAAATTTATTGATTGTTTGTTGGTAGTTTATGTTAAAACTTTATTTGTCAATTTATGTTAATTTCTTCGCATTTAAAGGAAATATTTAGTTGAGAGCAGACTGTCGTTTTAGTGTTTATTAGTTGATTATTTTGGTAGTGTCTTTGGTCTACCCCTTGTGTGTGTTATTGGTTTGGCCAGCCAATATATATGTTTCCCTTTGTGTGTCATTTGTTCGATCAGTTGGCTTTTTGTTGAGGTATCAGACAGTTCAGTTTGCTGTATTTTGAGTTTTCTTATATTTTGTTGACCTCTTTTAGGGCCCAGTTTATCTGATGTTAATGTTTGTATTTTTTCCCTTACTTTTGGGTTAATAAAAAGCCCATTGTTTTGAATTTTGAAAGCTGTGTCTTTTGCCTTACTGCTTGGTCCCTGACACTGTCCATCTGACAGTGGTGCCATGACAGCTTCTGAATGACTGCTGTTCCATTCATAATGGCCACATTGAAATGGGTGCTTTCACTGATGGACAAATGTAGAGGACAGGATGCTGAGGATGTGGAACTATATTTTTAAGTTTTTACAGCCATTATATGTTCACCCACACATTTTTCCTGCAAACTTTAAGAAAGGGAAGTATTATGCAAATTACCATGGATTAGACCAACAAGTGTGAAAGCAGAGCAGGAGTGTTAGGAGGAGGGTGCACAGCAGCCAGTGTAGTGCACATTGTTTTTAACTAGTGCTGCAAAACATTCATAATCATTCCACTTGTCCTTTACAGCTCTACTAAGCAGTTTCCCCAAATTAACATCACATGACCACATGTTATGTGACAAGGGTCTCTCACAGTGACAGCAGAAAGGGACTGATAAACCCCACTGTTTGAAACCTGACCAGCACCAGGCATCACACAATGATAACAACTAGCTGGTGTAGAAAATGAAGCTTTTAGCAGCTGAAAGGTGGCATATTTTTCTCAAGAGAGCTAAGAAGAGGGTACATTCATTGTTGCTCTGTGTCTACCTGAGAGTTCTGATGTCCTTAATATGTACCTAAATATTACAATTTTTACAGCATGTCACATTCTATTACTATCAGCTACTCTCTTGTTATTAAGTCAAGGCCACTCATTTAGATTTGTTTCTTTCAGCTTCTAAATCGCTCACATACAAACACACAGTGGGCATGTGAGTGTTGAAATATAAAGTATCAGTCTTTATACAGGTGTCAGTATGCACATCCAACACACAGCTAAATCTCAGGTGTTGAGTGAAAA